GATAAGGTCAGTGAAATCCCCTCAGGATTTGTCCTGAGATCCTGTACCTCAGATTGTAGATCCTTTGTCAGTGTCAGCCATGTGGATGAGTCACAGTCATTGCTTGCCCAATGTGCTTTCTGTGAAAGCCTGAGAGAATGTTTTCTCTCAATGTGACTCTCCTTAGGCACATTCTACATCATCAATCACTTTCCTCTTTTGCCTCATAATCTCCTTGATCAGAAAATTTGGGACACTACTGAGTTACGAGTATGACAAGTTTTCTAAAAGATCGGTGTTAAATTGGCTTGAAATGGTAAACTTTTTCAGACATTGATTTGTAAAAGAATATGACAGCTGATACTTCATTTTGATATCAGGGATTCCCCAAGTAGTGATGGCTGGATCTTCCCTATCATTTAAAAAAAAAAAAAAAATCTAAATGTCTAGGGTATTTTCACAGTTGCAGTACTACCAGCACCTTCCCTGTGTGAAACAGGATTTTAAAAAGGTAGATTTTCTTGTAAAGCAGTATATAATTAATAATTTTCCTTTTTGAATTAATGACCACTTTTTCTGCCTTTCAACTGTATCATTCTGTAGAGTTTTGATTCTTTTATATGATGCTTCGTAACAGCTTTAGGATGTAATTCATAAACTGTCATTGCCTCCCATTTATTTTTGCAGTACTGAGGATTGAGTCTAGGGCTTGTTGCGCTGGTCTATATCATCATTCTTTACTATTTATTTATTTATTTATTTATTTTTGGCGGAACCGGGGATTGAACTCAGATCCTTGCGTTTGCCAGTCAAGTGCTTATCCTACTGAGAGCCATCTCCCCGGCCCCAGCTATTTATTTTTGAGACAGGTCTGTGTACTCCTGGCTGGCTTCAAACTCTTCTGCTGTCCTCTTGCCTCAGCCTCCCAAGTATTGGGATTAGAAGAGTGCTCTTCACCTGGCTAGCCCTTATTTTTTGAGATGGGTCTTGCTACACTGTGCAGTCTTCCCTTAGACTTGAAATTCTCTTTCAGCCTCCTCTAAATACTATAGGCAAGAGCTGGGGATATGACTCAGCTGCATGAGCACCTGCCTGGCAAGTTCGAGGTCCAGAGTTTGATCCCTACTGCTGTGCTACCACTGCTGGCTCCAATTTTTCCTAAGTGGGCATTTCAGTGGATTTCTCACAGAGTTATAATTTTACGATACTCCTCTCCCCCCCCCCCTTTTTTTGGTGGAACTGGGGATTGCACTCAGGCCCTTGGGCTTGCCAGGGAAGCACTTATTCTACTGAGCCATCTCCCCAGCCCCCTAGGATATTCCTTTATCATCAAGAAAAAGACATACTGTACCTATAATTACTTCATAAACTGACACTCCTTTCAAACCCCAGATAGCCACAAACACTAGATTCTCATACTGCAGACATTCATGTAAATGGGATACAATGTGTTCTTTTGTGACTAGCTTCTTTCTTACAGTTTAGGAAATTATTGTCTCATATAAAATTGACTGAAGTTAACTATTTCAACTACTGATACTTTCAGCTAGTGCTGACACTTGGAGGATGTGTGTGTGTGTGTGTGTGTGTGTGTGTGTGTGTGTGTTACTGGGGATCAAACTCGGGATAATAAGCTTGCCAGGCAGGAACTTATGCCACTGAGCTATCTCCCAGGCCCAGGATTTTGGTTTTTGAAACAGGGTTTAGCTTCTGCCATTGAAATAATCTGTGGGCTGGCATGTCTATTGACGTACAGTGTTGAGATTCTTAAAACAGTAGTAATGAGCTGTGACACAGAGAAAACTCCCCATGGATTTAGTAGCTTGTTTAGGTAGTTTCTTATAGTTTTAAGGAAGCAGGGATCACTTTTATTATTATTATTATTATTATTATTATTATTAGTGCAGGATCTGCAAGGTCTCACTATACTGATCAGACTTATGATTCTCCTGTTTTCAGCTTCCCAAGCACTGGGATTACAGGCATGCACACCACACCCAGTCTCAGCACGCCCTGGGGATGGCACTGATACCAGTACCAGCACTGGCAGTGGCAGGCTGGGGATGGAACCTCCAGCCCCTGCGTCTGCCTAAATAGGTGCTTTAATCTGCTGAGCTATCTGGCTGGCCCTGAGATTACTTTTTTGTATGTCTTTAGTTTTCTTGTTTTCTAGATCTAGTCTTGTATTCTGAGGGGATAGAGTGGGGAAAGGTGCCTTTTCAATATATATGCTTGGCATGCATGGGACTGAAGATCACCTGTAAGAGTTTGTTTCCCATCTGACTTTTAACTTTTTGGCAGTTAAAAATTGTTACTCAGTGGGCTGTACTCAGGAGGCCAAGGCAGGAGGATTGCTACAAAGGGCCAGCGTGGGCTATGTAGGGAGAAAAATCCCACCAGCTAGATGAGGACGCACATGTCTAATCCCAGCACTCCACAGACTGAGGCAGGAGGATCTCCCTGCAAGTTTGAGACCAGCCTGGGCTACAAAGTGAGCTTAAGCCAGCCTAAACTGCATAGTGAGACCCTGTCTGAAGAAGACATAAACACAAAAATAACCAACCAATATAATGGGGGTGGGATGGGGGTGGTGGTTGTTTTTCCAGTAGTGGGTATTGAACTCAGGACCTTGTGCTTGTCAGGCAAGTGCTTACTCTACTGAACTATCTCCCTGACCCTTAATAGTTTTTTTAATAGACAATATTTCATTTGTTGTTTAGATTCTTATTTGGTATACAGGCATTCAAAAATCAAAACTAGTTTGCCTGATACTATTTTAACTTATAAAGTGCTAATAAGCTTTAAAGATAAACCAGTCTTTTACTGACTTTTTTTTTTGGTATGAGGAGTAGCACTCAGGACTTTGTGTTTGCCAGGCAGTGCTTGTGCTGCTGAGCTATATTGTAGTCTTTATTTACTTCTAAAATACAAACCTGTATGTTACAGTTTTTAATGTTTAAAACAAAATTGTGCTAAGAACTGAGAAACATGTGAAGATCTTTCCTTGATTAGATTGACTTGACAGTTAAAATTGTCATGAGGAAGTAATATTTGATGTTAGATGCTTTTTACTTTTTAAAAATGTATTTGGTACAGGGTCTCAGAGCTCCTGTTTTCAACCTCCCCAGTGCTAGGATTACAGGTGTGTGTCACCACGCCCTGTCTATTTCACTTTTCTTCCTCTCTGTTCTTCAGTCATTCTTTATGATAAGTACTTCTCTTAGGGTGATACTGTGTTTAAACATTTATTTATTTATTTATTTATTTATTTATTTATAGAAAACAGGGTTTTAGGCACATGCCTATAATCCCAGCACTAACAAGACTACGTCTCAGAAACAAAATCTGTGAAATGGACAACACCTCACCACCAACTGAGCCTTCTTTCTGGAGTAGTATAGTACTAAACTTTTTTTATTTTTTATTTTTTGCGGAACCGGGGATTGAACTCAGGCCCTTGTGCTTGCCTGGGAAGCACTTATTCCACTGAGCCATCTCCCCGGCATACATAGTACTAAACTTTTAAAAGCTTTTGTTGGCTTTGAAAAAGGTTACAGTCCTTATTTCTAATAATGATTTAGTTTTTTGCCTTTAAGAGTCAGGTATTTTGTTTGTGGAGTAACTCCTTGGTTTTAAGGCCCTTAAAATCCACTCTTTTAACAGTTGCCACTGGTGGATGTTTAGCTGTGAAGCAGCAGGCTGAGCACTTTAATCCTTGTAATAGTCCATTGAAGTGTAGGTACTACTGCTGTTTGTGGTTGAATGGCTGAGTAGTTCTTTACTTAAATTTTGTATCCACTGAATGGCAGGATAGGGATTCAAGCCCCTATATTGTGTGCATAAAACTTAGTTATTATGTTTAAAAATACGGTTTTGTCTGGGTTGGCACCCAGGTCTTTGGTGGGTGGCTTTTTATTTCTTATTTGTGTGTGTGTGTGTGTGTGTGTGTGTGTGGCCAGCTCAGCCCACCAAGGGGCGGGGCTGGCTGGCATGTGGTGCTGGGGGATTGAACCGCAGTCCCTGTGCTTTGCTAAGCTTGTTCTAAGTAGGTGCTTTAGACCACTGAGCCATCTCACCAGCCCCAGGTGGGTGGCTTTTTAATGCGCTAGGTGTAGCTCAGTGGGAGACTGGGTTTAATTTCTAGCATGTACACCTATAGGCAAAACATGTTGACAGTGATCCATGTGCAGAGGTAAATAAAACCACTTTGGAGAATTTCTACATTTGCTTAATTTAGTGATAAATTAGAGGAAAAAGAAGTGTTTCTTTCGTAGATGCTGCATTAACATTTGCACTGATTAGTCATGCGGATTTGAACATTAGTAAATGCAGTTGATGTGAAATATGATCTTCAAAAGGGATCAAGTGAACAAATTGTTTCATTTACAGGGGAGGAAGTGGTGAGGGAAAGGTTTGAAGTATTCAGGTGAGTAGGATTCCTACAGCTGCATAGTGAAATTTAAAGGGTCTGGTAAGTTTTTGCAGCTGAAGGACTTCTGCATTAGGTCTTTTGAAAATGTTCTGAAATTTTAAAAAGATGGTTGCCTCTCAGGTAGGAAACATGGTGGATGGGTTCACTTTGGACGGAAATGTGGTCCTTGCTTGTTTGTGGTATCTGAATGTGGCAGTGTTGCCTTTGACTAAAATGTTGAAGCAGTGAGTGAACTGGAGATTACTATATAGTCAGTGACTTTCAGATGGGTAGCTTCAAAAATATGCTTACTTTTGGGAGGCATTCACAGTTTGGTACACTTTTACTTGTTTTTAAACTGAATTTGACTAACTCAGTCTCTTTGAAACTTGCTCTTGGTGAGTGAGTAGGTTTTTTTTTGTTTGTTTGTTTGTTTTGGCAGAACCAGGGATCGAACTCTGACCCTTGTGCTTGCCAGGGAAGCGCTTATTCTACTGAATCGTCTCCCCAGCCCCGTGAAGTAGGTTTAATTAAAACAAGTTGGGGGCTGGGGAAATGGCTCAGTAGATTAAGTGCTTGCCTAGCTAGTGCAGGGGTCTGAGTTCAGTCCCCGGTTCCACCAAAAACCCCAAAAAACAAAAAAGCAGAAGTTGGTATTTTCCCAAGTTTGATGTGTTCAAAATTAAAAAATGCATCTAAGAACTTAGACTTTTGTAATACCTTTCTTCCCAACATTAAGTACTCATTGCATTTTTTTACTTAGGCCCTTAATAAGGGTGAACAGTTGTACAATACAGCTTTCTGACAGCTCAGGTATTGGAAACTGCCTGTTTTTAGGTGAATAATGAAGTGCTGAGATGTATGAAATTGAGAGATGAGGGGAGTGCCAGAGATGGCCTTAAGATGACACAATCAAAAGTTGTTTATATACAAAAAAGGAAAAAATTAGGCAACATACTATTTGGTACTAAGAAGCTCAGAAGTTTCAGATGGAGGATTTCACTGTTTTCCATAACTCAAAATACAAAGTTGGTGTAACATTGTATTGTGGCATGATCACAGGGGATGTTGTATTTCCTATTGTGACACTTCTGAGAGCTGTTTTCTTTGGTACCTCTTGACAAGGGTATATCTTGATTGACTGCTTTATGTGCTTGTTTATTTTTTATAGCATTTAAATCAAACGGTATTGAGATGGATTGGGTTATGAAACATAATGGTCCAAATGACGCTAGTGATGGGACAGTACGACTTCGTGGATTGCCATTTGGTTGCAGCAAAGAGGAAATAGTTCAGTTCTTTCAAGGTACCTCTAGTATTAGTCAAAGTTCAGTAGTGTTTTAATTTTGTATTTTTACTAAGTTTAATTTGTAAAACCCAATTTTGGAACTTTTAAATTTGTGATAATCTTGGTTATGTATTAAAATATGAAATTGCTCCAGTTAATATTGGATACAGAATATAAAATATATAAAACCTAATTGATATGTAGTACAGTAATTGAGAATAATTATGTGTGATGAAATGAACCATGAATTAACATATGGAGCATAAATTTGACTTAAGCTTTTTTCATGTAATGTAGGTGGGCTTTTAGAAAAGTAATTTAAAGACACTGGTTGCAAAAAGATTATTTAATCCGATAATATTTGAAAAATATCCATTTGTATTATGGGGTGATGGGAAACTAAGTTTTTTTTTGTTTTGTTTTGTTTAGACTTGTTTTTAAATATATGATTCAGATGGGAATGTTTCAGCCTTTAACACTGTTCCCCTTGATGGGGTTATTTGTCCTTGGGTTAAAGGGTTGGAAATCGTGCCAAATGGGATAACATTGACGATGGACTACCAGGGGCGAAGCACAGGGGAGGCCTTCGTGCAGTTTGCTTCAAAGGAGATAGCAGAAAATGCTCTGGGGAAACACAAGGAAAGAATAGGGCACAGGTGGGGATGGAGAGTTGGGGATGGTGTTAAACTTTTATTTTGGGGGTTGTGGGTCACTATTGCTTAAATGGGGGGGTAACCATAACATTTTTCTGGGGTAGTTTAAAAGAATTGATAATTACCTAAATTTAACTTGGAAACTACAGATTTGGGTGGGGAATTGATGCTAATAGTTTGTTTAAATTAAAAGTAGATTGCTTTCATTTCTCTGTAGGCTGTTGATAATGCTTTTGTATAATACAAATTTTCCTGAAATACTATCATGTGCTAAAGGAAACACACTAAAAATATATTTGTATTTTATGAATTGTTTTCAAATGACTCATTTGCCTATGTAAAATTTAAATATTAAAGTTTGTAGGTATAAAAAATCTTAACTTATGGTGTATTTAGGTATTTTAAATTGGGTTATATACTAGATGTAGAAAGACTTGCTGCATTTTGCCCAATATCTAAATAACACTAATACATTTGTGCTGAAACTTGTACCTTAAAACATTTTTAAATAGGTATATTGAGATCTTCAGAAGTAGCAGGAGTGAAATCAAAGGATTTTATGACCCACCAAGAAGATTGCTGGGACAACGACCGGGACCATATGATAGACCATAGGAGGAAGAGGGGGTTATTATGGAGCTGGGCGTGGAAGTATGTATGACAGAATGCGGCGAGGAGGTGATGGCTATGATGGTGGTATGTGTATCTAATGAACAAAGGTTCTGTTGTCATTTTCTTAATGTTTCTGACATTTTGTCAAGAAATACAGAAATGGCAGTAATTTCAGTACCTGTTGGTTTTAAAACCTGTTCATGAAAGTATGGCTTCCCATGGCCAACTGTGGGACTTGATTGATGCACATATTGGCACCGAGAAAACTTAGAAATTAAAATGAAGAAATTGACATAGGCTTGAAATTCAGTTTATGTTATATCTGAGTTTATTCTTTTGAAGTTTTTAATTTTCATCAATTGTTGACTGCTTTTAATATGCACTAAGTTGTGGATTGCAAACTCAGAATACAAGAGTAACATGGAAAAAAATTTGTGAACATAAAATATCTCATGCAGTGGTATTTATGCATTTCTCCTTAAAATTACACAGGTTATGGAGGTTTTGATGACTATGGTGGCTATAATAACTATGGCTATGGAAATGATGGCTTTGATGACAGAATGAGAGATGGACGAGGTAAAGTTTTGTTGTGAAGTAAATTGTAATAGTTATCAATTTTTTTTAAATATTTGCTTTTATACCTAGTGATAATATAGGTGACTCAAAAAAGTTAACTCAGTCATACTTCATTATTACATATTATGCTTTGAAATATGTGCAATCATTTGTACATGTATCCATAATGGTTCTAATCCTGGTGAATTTTATTTTTAGGTATGGGAGGACATGGCTATGGTGGAGCTGGTGATGCAAGTTCAGGTTTCCATGGTGGTCATTTCGTACATATGAGAGGGTTGCCTTTTCGAGCAACAGAAAATGACATTGCTAATTTCTTCTCACCACTAAATCCAATAAGAGTTCACATTGACATTGGAGCAGATGGAAGGGCAACAGGAGAAGCAGATGTAGAGTTTGTGACACATGAAGACGCAGTAGCTGCCATGTCTAAAGATAAAAACAACATGCAACACCAATACATTGAACTGTTCTTGAATTCTACTCCTGGAGGTGGCTCTGGAATGGGAGGTTCTGGAATGGGAGGTTATGGCAGAGATGGAATGGATAATCAGGGAGGATATGGATCTGTTGGAAGGATGGGAATGGGGAACAATTACAGCGGAGGATACGGTACTCCTGACGGTTTGGGTGGCTATGGCCGTGGAGGCGGAGGTGGTGGCGGTTACTATGGGCAAGGTGGTGTGAGTGGCGGCGGATGGCGTGGGATGTACTGAGAGCAGGACACCAACAGGACACAGCAGCTTTTTATACTTGATATCAGTTTTTTTTTTTTAAATTTATTTATTTGTGTGTGTGTGTGTGTGTGTGTGTGTGGCCAGCTCAGCCCACCAGGGGGCGGGTCTGGCTGGCATGTGGTGCTGGGGATCGAACCGCAGTCCCTGTGCTTTGCCAAGCTTGTTCCAAGTAGGTGCTTTAGACCACTGAGCCATCTCTCCAGCCCCCCAGATATCAGTTTTGAAGTGAAATGAAACATTCTTTCATCCTTTGTCCAGGTTGAGGGTATAACTCAGTCTTCTGTTACCTTTCCTGTCTTTAGTAGTTGATTGTTTTTTGTTTTTTTGCACTCATTTTGTGCTTTTATAAGTCAAGAATCAAGGTATAAGGCATGATTGTGCATGTCTAAGTTGTGGGTTTTTTTTTTTTTTTGGTACTGGGGGTTGAACTCAGGACCTTGACCCCTTGACCTTGCCAGGCAGCTGGTTATACTGCTGAGCTAACTCCCCGGCCTTTAGTCCCAGCTATTTGGGAGACTGAGTCAAGATTGAAATTTTGGGGTCCTGTTTCCAAAGACTGGAGATGTAGCTCACCATCCCATGGGTTCAGTCCCTGGTGCCATTGTAGGGCAATAAGTATGTGGTCAGAGACTGAGCATAGAGTGCTGGTGGCTGGAAGGTTGCAGATTTTGAGAGTGAATTAGGTAACAGTTGTTACTCGTTTAGCTTTGCAGGCTAGGTAAATAGATTCTATTTCTGTCGCGGATTGAAATGAAAATAGTTGATTTCAGATTGAGTAGGGAGGTTTTAAGCCAATGATCCAGCATAGTCTCACATGGCCATGCTTTTATCCATTGACTTGGTGGCTTGTAAAGGCAAAAGTGCCATCTAGCTCCTAAAGCATGTATAACCTGTGCAGCTAGTACTAATGGAGGAAGACTATTCCTCTTCATTCATTGCTGCCCAGGCAAGCCAAAAGATTTAGTACCCAGAGGACTGTGTGTGTGTGTCCAGCTCAGCCCACCAGGGGGCGGGCTGGCTGGCATGTGGTGCTGGGGGATTGAACCGTGGTCCCTGTGCTTTTTTGCTAAGCTTGTTCTAAGTAGGTGCTTTAGACCACTGAGCCATCTCACCAGCCCAGTACCCAGAGGACTTCTGTTGGGTAGTTCTGTGGATTCTACTAACACTCCATTTTTTATTTTCAGACAGGGTCTTGATAATTTGGCCAGTTTGGGTTCAAACTTAGGATTCTGCTGCCTCAGTGTCTCAGAGTAGTGATATTGCAGGTGTGCAGCACTGCCTACAGCTGAAAATACCTTAAGTGTCAAGGGAGTAGGTCATTTATTTATGACAAGCCTTCAACTCATTATGTGGCCCAGGTTGGCCTAGAACTTAGGGAGATTGTCCTGCCTCAGTATCAAGAGTGCTAGGATTACAGTTACATACCACCACATCCAGTCTTAAAACTTATTTTCGGGGCTGGTGAGATGGCTCAGTAGTCTAAAGCACCTACTTAGAACAAGCTTAGCAAAGCACAGGGACCGTGGTTCAATCCCCCAGCACCACATGCCAGCCAGCCCCGCCCCCTGGTGGGCGGAGCCGGCCACACACACAAATAAATAAAATTTTAAAAAACCCTAATTTTCATGGTAAGGTGTGAAGCTTTTAGCCTGTTGGGGTAATTACTTCCTAGGTGTAATAGGCAATTGACACCGTACAACAGTGGAAGAATTTATTTTTTTAAAAAATCAAGGTTTATTGTAATTTTCAATAACTGGAAGAAAAATAACACTTGTTTCCTTTTATTTAGTTCTTCTCACCACTAAATCCAATAAGAGTTCACATTGACATTGGAGCAGATGGAAGGGCAACAGGAGAAGCAGATGTAGAGTTTGTGACACATGAAGACGCAGTAGCTGCCATGTCTAAAGATAAAAACAACATGCGTAAGTGCTATCTTCTGGCTGCTTTGTTCCTTTGGTAGTGCTGGGGACTGAGCATAGCCTCTGCACTGAACTGGAGCCCCAGGCCTTGTTCACTTTTTGAGACAGGATCTCAGGTTGCCTGGACCAGGCTTAGACTTGTGATCCCACTGCCCTCACCCTCTCTGAGCTGGGCTTACAGGCAGGGACTACCATGCCTGGCTTAACGCACTTCATAAGTAAGCTCGTTTATGGAGTCATAAGTAAAAACTTTCATAAGTAATAAGTAAAAACTTTCATAAGTAAATCGTTTATGGTGATTTGTTTCAACAACTGACAGGTTGCTGAAATCATTTAGCTTTTACATAGACTTTGTCTTCTTTAGGTACTTATCTCAGTGTTTGGCGTACTTGCAGTTTATTATTAGCTTTTATTGATAAATCTGATCTGTCCTTTAAACTTTTTTTTTTTTTTTTTTTTCTTTCATCTTAAAGAACACCGATACATTGAACTGTTCTTGAATTCTACTCCTGGAGGTGGCTCTGGAATGGGAGGTTCTGGAATGGGAGGTTATGGCAGAGATGGAATGGGTATGTAAAGGTTTTATTATTATTATTATTTTTTTTTTTGTATTTAGTGCAGGGTCTCACTACACAACACAGACTCAGTGATCCTCCTGTTTTCAGCCTCCTCAGTGCTGGGACTACAGGTGTGCATCATCACACCCAGATTCACTCACTGCTCAGTGCGCCTGGGAGTGGTACTGGAAATTGAATCCTGGTTCTAAGCACTTAGTCCACTGAGCTGTCTTACCAGCCCTTATGTAAAGCTTTTAAAATAAACAGCCTTAGGTCCTTGGCAGTTTCAAATGCTTTTTCTTTTTCTTGTAAAGATAATCAGGGAGGATATGGATCTGTTGGAAGGATGGGAATGGGGAACAATTACAGCGGAGGATACGGTACTCCTGACGGTTTGGGTGGCTATGGTAAGTGTCTCTGGTGGGTATAAATCCAGTTCCCATATGTAGTACCCATAGTTGAAGTGCCGATGTTACTTATAATCGCTTGAATGTGGAGGTCTGTTGGTGAGTGATCCTGTCTGTCTACAGGCCGTGGAGGCGGAGGTGGTGGCGGTTACTATGGGCAAGGTGGTGTGAGTGGCGGCGGATGGCGTGGGATGTACTGAGAGCAGGACACCAACAGGACACAGCAGCTCCAATAGCAGCATCTGGTCTACTAGACTTTCTTACAGATTGAATTTCTTTTGTATTTTAAAAACTTTATAATGACTGAGGGAATGTGTTTTCACAATATTATTTGGTAAAACAACAGATTGTGATGGGAAAATCTGTTTTCTGTAGGTTTTATTTGTTGCATACTTTGACTTAAAAATAAATTTTTATATTCAAACCACTGATGTTGATACTTTTTATATATCCTAGTTACTCTTTTAAGATGTGCTGCCTTCATAAGATTTGGGTTGATGTATTTTACTGTTAGCTCTAAAAACATAGTGTAGTGTAATAGTAGAGTAATGGTTCATTTCTACATAAACTGCAAGTCTTATTAATAAGCAGACATCTGGAATAGAGCTTGAATAATTAATGTAACTTTAATTTCTCCTGTTTAGCACTGTAAATATAAAGCCTAAAGATGAGTTTAGGTGGATTTGGGAGTAAAAATTCAGCTAATTATATATTCTTTTTCAAATGTCATTTATCAGGCACAGTTCTGAAATGATTAAAGAGTTAACCTGGATTTCTGAATATTCTAATTGTGTTTCCTAGGGAAGGGAATGTTGGGAGTTTAAATGCTAGCCCTAGATTTTAGAGTAAAATCCCCTCAGCACTTGGCCGAAGTACCAAAAATTTTCTCAAAAGTGAAGAGTTGTTAAGTTATCTCAAGATGTCTTAGAGTAGGTTAAGTTTCTCAATGACAAGAGAATTGAGGTATTTACTGTGGAGTATAATTCTCACAGGTGTACTTTCAGTTTCTTACCCAATCAAGTATATGGTTTTTAAATATCTGTATAAGTGACTACATCAAAATAATGTAAGAGACAAATCTGTGTTATGAGAATCCTGCAGTTGGACTTTGCATCTGCTAACAGCTTAGAGTTCTAGTTAAAAACACTATATGTAGCTAAGAAAAGGTGCTTTTTTAATTTTATCACTTTGATCAGTATGGCTTTTCTTTTCCAAATTGGCTAATGGATCAAAATGAAACCTGTTAATGTGAATTCATTTATTGAACTTGTTACTTGTTTTGTTAGATGTGTTACATAATAAATGTCAATGTGGGAAGATAATGGTATGGTGTCTGTCCTAGAATGCTTGTGTTATTAATTATAAAATATTTACGGAGTACTAAATGTCTAAATGTAAAATTTAGATAAAAGTGTTAAGTTTCTGGTATTAGCAAAAGCAGTAACATACCTGTGTATTTGGAGCCTGCTGGCATGGTCTGTTTGGGGAGGTGTTCTGGGCTTTGAATCCCCTACTGCTGAGCAACAGCCCTAGCCTGTGGCTATTGTGTTTGTACCTAACTTAGCTACTTAAGGATTGTAAGTAGCTTTGAAATTTTATGAGCTTTCTTTTCCCATAGTGTCCTCTTAAAATCTTCAAGCATGAAAGTATAAATGTTAGTCTGATTTTTTTTTTCAAATTTTATTTGATTTATAAAATTCACATTTTTAAATACATTACAGGATAAAAGAACTGTTAATTCATTGGCACCATGATAACATCATTGTGGTAGTACTGGCTAGACAAGATGGTCTGCAGTTATCATGAGAAGAAAAAGTAGTGTTCGGTCCACAACCACAAAGTAAGAAAACATTGTTCCTCTTGTGGCCCTGGGTATTCAAGTTGCAATATTTCACACAGCTATGGCCACAGTTGTTTTTCTTTTGGGTCTCTGCTACACAGTTCAGACTTGTGATCTTCCTGTCTCAGCCTCCCCAGTGCTGGGATTAAAGGCATGTACCACCATGACCAGTCTCAGGGCTGGCAGCATGGCATGTGGTACCAAGATCGAACACTTGCCAGGACGAGAGTCACAAAGTTGCCCAAGGCTGGCCTTTGAGCTTGTGGTCTTCCTGCCTCAGCCTCCCAGGATGTTGGGATGCATGTGCCCCTCCCTATTCCTGGCTTGAAAAGGGTATTTTTTCAAACAGAAAAATCTATCAGTGGCTCTTAAGCCAAAAAAGCTAACTGAAGAAAAGTACACAAAGCATAACTATTTTAAAATTTGCTCTAAACACCTCTGAAAATTCATTTACACGGACTTGATTTCAGCGATCATAAAAATGTTAATCTATTCCATTGATACAAAAGGGTTCAAGAATATAATAAGAAAGACCACCTACAAATTGAAGTCAGATCTTCCTTAGGTTAAGCTTAGAAACTGACTTGAAAGTGTATTTATGGGTTCTGGAAAAAATAGATCTTCAATTAAAATAAACTTTGATAATTTAGAAAGTTAAATCTTAATTTATATACTCATGAGGAAAAAGATCCTGCAGAATAAGTACTTAGGGGGGCAGGGTGCATCATTGCTAAATGACCACTTGGAAATGTCTAATATTCTTGGAAAATTGATAAAGGGTTTGGCTAAAAACTGAACAGTGATACACTAAAGTGATTACAGAGGGTAACAATTACAGGTTAAATTGTAGTGCTCTCAGCACTGTGACTGGGTTAGTGTTCAGTCTGTTTGAAATGTGTGTTCTGTGGTAAGACCAAACTATATCTTCACTCAAGACTGTCACTGACCAGCTGCTAGGCAGGCTGGGACACTTGGTGGTGGACGTGTACTCGGCTAATTCAGCCAGTGAAGTGTAATAGAAACTTGTCAACTGCAATCCTGTCATGACAAAGAGAATATTTAGGGTTTTTTTTTCTTGCTTTAAATGCTCAAGAGTATCTATCAACCCACTCCTGTACCTGGGATTGTACCTGGCGTTCTCAGTTTCTGACCTAGCTCCAACTTGTGATCCTACTGTGTCAGCCTTCCAGGGTGCTGGGGTTATAGGTGTGCGCCACCATGTGTGGTTTAGCAGGGGATGGATGTATAAGCCCCTTATTGGTATTTAAGAAGGGCCAGGGTAAAATACTACTGTTTTCTGTTAGAAAAGGGCAAAGGGGAAGAGCAAAATCAGAATCTTACAGGGTAACAAATCCGTTGAATCAGGCTGGCCAAATAGCTCTGCGGATTAAAGCTCCTGCAAGCAGGAGCAGGGCAGGGTGTGCCAGCACCATCCCCAGGGCATGCTGAGACAGACTGGGCATGGTGGCATGCGCCTGTAATCCCAGCTCTTGGGAGGCTGATCTAGCAGTGAGACCCTGAACACCCTGTAGACCCTTCCCTAAAAAATAAATCCACTGAATCAAAATGTTACCACTTCTAGAAAGTGTGCGTTTCTGGTCTTGGATAGCTCTAAAGCTTTAAAGTGCCATAGGAGAATCAGGTACCATCCAGTGCCCAGTGGACAGCAGTGAGGGTAGTGAGAGAGCCACTGTGTGGCGCCTCAGCATAAGGCAGGTGGGTGCGGGGGCGGTATGGCCTCGGGGAACTAGGGCACACAGTTGCCCAGATGGTCATATAGCATCATTTTAGCATGCTGTGATAGACTGGCTAACTGGGCAAGGTTGTAACAAGTCCTGTGTGTCATTGCAGGGAGTTAATGGGATGAAGGGCACTACCGAAGAAGGGCTGTTGATGCAAGGGTTAGGTGTTGAGGTGGCTGCGGACCATCACATGGGCCAGCAGGGTCAGGGTAGTGTGGATGAGCAGCTCTGGATGAGTAGGGCGTGGCAGGAGTCACAGACCCGCACTGGCTTTGGAGAGGAAGGCAAAGGCAGCTCGTTGTCGGAGCAGGCGTTACAGAAGATTTCCCCGCAGTTCCTACAGTGGTGCTGTCCATGGAACACGGTGATAACAAAGATTAAACATAAACCATTTTTATGCAAAAAACTTTTGACTCCCTACCTCCTTTACCTTTCTCTTAGACAGTGAGAATTCCTTTTCACAAAGCTTACAATGTGTTGCTTCTTTATCTTTCAGCCAAACCAGTCCCTGTAGCAGGAAGAAAAGATGACCTGTGAGGCTAGTGTGGTGCCCCCTGTAGGCTCAGGTGGGATGGCCACCAATTTGAGGCCAGCCCAGATCAGGGTCCTGTCTCAAAATTTTGTCCAAGAATATTTTATAGCAATAAATTGTGAAGAATCAAAAATAAGATGCTGGGCATGATGGTGCGCACCTGGAATTCCACCACTCTGAAAGCTAGGCCAGGAGGACTGCAAGCTGAGGGAGACCCTGTCTCAATAAAGGAGAGTGGGGGCTAGGGATGTAGTTTAGTCCCCTAGCACTGGTGTGGAAAGGAAGTATACTCAAGAGACAAGCAAGACACAGATGTGAAAACAAGCAAAACCACATCCTCCCTGGTAAAGCAAAACTGATGAAACCAAGCTACATATGTGTCAGGCATGGTGCCACTTGCCTATAATGCCAGCACTTGGGAGGTTGATGCAGGAAGATTGCCCGAGTCTGAGGCCAGCCCAGGCTATTTGCTAGACCCTGTCTCAAAAGAACACCCCCCCCCCAGCAAACTGTACTATAGGTTATTTAGAAATAAGTCCCAGTAGATCAAAATAACTGAAAGCAGCTCTTGGGACAACTGGATATAGCATGGATGAGGGACACGACTGAAGTCTCTAGGACTTTTACGATTTTCATGGAAGACTTTAATGAAAAGAACTGGGTAGTGTGGGGTGGGACATGTCCCTAAGGCACTTGCCCTGTGTTCTGCTTTCTCCTGTACTATGGGAGGGATCTGCAATGGGCTGCACAGCCAGCCACATATTGATGAGTGCCACCAACCATGCCCACACAGACGCACCCATTCAGTGGCAAAAGCAACCCTAGAGATGCCGAAGATCACTCAGGAAGACGAAATGGACGCGCAACTTGGCTGCTAGTCACACTGCAAGCCATTTAGTAATAAACGGACATAGGTGGAGCACTTGCAACTCTGGAGTCAGACTTTTGGACTGTGGTAGCAAAGTATGGTATTTGGTATTGAATACTCTAAAAGGTTTGCCATCAGTACTTGAAAAGGACCAAAATTCAGTTGCCCTCCATCAAGAAGATAGCAAAGGGCTGGGGAGATAGCTCAGTAGAAGAAGCGCTTGCCTGGCAAGTACAGGGTCCTGAGTTCAATCCCTGGTACCGCAAAAAAAAAAAGATGAGAGCAAAGAAGTGTATGTGAGGTGGAGGGAAGATCAGGCCCCTCCATCACTGATCACCCCTTAGGTACTGCTGCCTGGGGACTTGTTTGTTGTGCAGGGCATGAGCAGAGCAAGCAAGAGCTTTGATGCTCTTGAACACATTTTCTACCTACCTGCAAGGCTTTGTTAGCTTCTTTTATATCTTCTATTTTAAGTTTTGATCTAAAAAGATTAGAAACAGGTCCACATATTAGTACACACTGAAATACAGAAGGTCTAGTAACTTCGTTACAAATGCTTTGCAAAGGACAGAAGGGCATGATGGCTCTGGGAGCACAGTGCTAAGCAGTGTGAGGATGTGGAACACTGCTTCAACTTTTGGAAATACAAGGGGCAACTAAAAGATACAGTGAATGTTTAAGTTTTTTAAAGCTTAAAGAAAATAAAGGATGAGCTAATTGTGTTGGAAGTGAGGGGGAATATCTTTTGAGTATAACCTGGAGAGTGATTAATAGCAGGTGTCTTTTACTGAAATTTTTTTTTCCCCTTTTCTTTTGAGCCACGGTCTTGCTGTATAATCCAGGCTGGCCTTGAATTCACTATGTAACCCAGGCTGGCCTCAATCTCATGGCAATACTCCTGTCCCAGCTTCCCAAGTGCTGGGATTACAGGCATGTGCCACCATACCCGGCTGTAATAAATACATTTTTAAATGTAAACATTCACTTTTTTTTTTTTTTTTTTTTTTTTTGGCAGGACCAGGGATTGAACTCAGGACCCTGTGCTGCCAAGCAAGCGTTTATTATTCTAGTGAGCCATCTCCCCGGCTCTAAACATTCACATTTTATATCACCCTTTGTTGATAAAACATTTACAGAATAAATTCAGTCCAAAATATTGTGTGGCCAGGCATGGTGGCACACATCTGAAATCCCAACACTTAAGAGGCTGAGGCATGAGGGCTACTGTGAGTTTAAGGCAAGTTTGGGCTACAAAGTATCAGAGCAGCCTGAAGAGACCCTGTCTCAGAAGAAAAAAAAAAAAAGGAAAACCCTTCGTGTGTTTCATTACTATTTTCCCACCTCATTTAAAATAGTATCTACATGGCCTACAAAGCCTGAAGCCAGTTAGAACAATAATTGGATGGCACACAGGAAGGAGGCTGAGGCAGGAGCACTGTCAGTTGGAGCCCAGCCTGGCCACATATTAAGACCCCACCTCACAAGGCCAATAAAAGCAATGCTCTATCCACCCTCCGAGGTTCCCTGTATGTGCAACCTAGACTAAGCCTGGGGCACCCACCACTGAGCTAAGGCCCCTGACCCTTGTTATGGTTTATTTTGAAACAGAATCTTGCTAATTTGCCAGGCTGATAGCAAACTTGTAATCCTCCTACCTTACCCTCCCAAGTGTGCACCTATGCACTCAGCTCTAATACATAATGCTTACATCAAACCTCAAACTACTGAACAGCATACATTGAACTACACTCAGGTTAATTACGCAAGTCAGCATTTGTTTTTAATTTTGTACCTTTTTTGGCAGCAGGTGTGTATGTGCGTGTGCTGAGACAAGGTGTTGCTATGAAGTTCAGGCTGGCCTTGAACTCACTACGTAGCCCAGGCTGGCTTCCACTTTGCAGTGATCCTCAGACTCCCAAGAGCTGCAATTACAGGTATGCACCACCATACCTGGCTCTAACTTTGTATGTTTTTTGGTGCTAATTTTCTGATCATAAAACAACAATTTTATAAAAGATGAATGGATTATGTTTCATTGTGTTTTTTCAATTTTTAGTTATCCATATAAAAATAAGTGAATTATTTGTAAATGTGTCAGTGGTACACTCATTAACCTTTCTAAGCTAACACCAAATACCTGGTCATACTTCAGGTTTTTAGTTCAGACTGGCCTTGTATTCACTACATAGCTCAGGCTGGCCTCCAATTCTCAGAGATTCTCCTTCCTCAGCCTCCCAAGTGCTGGGAATACAAGTGTGTGCCACACATCTGGGGTTTTTTTTTTTTTTTTTTTTTTTTTTTTTTGGTATTGGGGATTGAACTCAGGACCCTGCGCTTGCCAGGCAAGTACTTATTCTACTGAGCTATATTCCTGGTCTCCACCTAGTTTATTTTTAGACTAACTTTATTGTTTTTATTTAATACTTCCTATCTTTTTCTTTAAAAAGTGTATTTAAACTTTTCTGCCTAATTGATTGGGTACATTCATTCCTTCATAAGAATTAATGAATAATTAAAGGAAAAGAGAAATTACTCGCTAAGTTTGTTGCCGAGTTCTTGAAGAGCTTGTTCTTGTTCATGATATATTTTTTTCAACTGCTGATTTTCATCCTGAAGATTAAGGAACTCCTTGAAAACAATGAAATACAGAAAATGCAAATTAAAAGAAACCACAGTGTATGTATACCATTAATTAGGAATAAATCATTACCCTTGAGCTTTTTGTAAGAAACACAACTACGTGTCCAAAGCCCTTACCCCCTGCTGTATGTTTTGGCATTAGACAGGGTCTCCCTCTGTAATCCAGGTTGGCCTTTCACCTGGGGCAACCTGCCTCAGCCTCCCCAGTGCTAGGATTACAGGTGTGCACTGCTGTACCCAGCCTTTCTTCTCCTGCCTGTTGTATTCATTATTTTCTGTTCAATTAATCTCCTTACCATATTCTGCTCCTTCAGATGAGCCCTGTGTACCGTTTCCATATATAAATGTAAGTTATATAGTTATTTTTTCAAATAAGCCAACAGCTGTTAACATTTCAACCTGTCCCACTCTTTACCTCTTTAAGCCCAGAGGCCTGCTGGGTGCTGTCCCTGAGGAGCGCTGTCGTGTCCTTTTCCCGCTGCAGGTCCTCCTGCAGTGCCTGCCTCCATTCCCTCTCAATCTTCAGGTCAGTTTCCAGCCTCGCCCTGGGAACAGCAGCACAGAGCTCACTTAGCACCGCGTCCCTGCAGCCTCCTTTAGGGACAGGGCCGGCAGCAGCAGCCCCTGCCTTTCCCTGTGGGCCACACAGGAAGGGCCAGGAAGGGCAGCAGCTTGTTTGCACGCTTGGCCAGGGGAGGAAGGGCAGCAATGTGGAGCTCTGTGTAGGTCTCCATGCTGTGCAGGGTTTTTTAAGCAAATAACTGGTTTAAATCTAATCCATCTCACTGTTAGCAACAGCAGCTGCTGCCCTAGGGGGAGTGTGGGTCTGCCGGGGCTCACACGGTCAGCCTAAGACCCCAGAAGATGGGGAGCCAAGCCCCAGAAAGCACTGCAGCGTCCCTCCGGCAAGGGGCTCAGCTGGCTAAACAAATCACGTCTTGCCTTTCCTTTTGGGTTTTCTGAGTCAGGTTCTCACCAGGTGACCCAGGCTGGCCTCATGGTAGCATGTGTGTCCCCAGGCACACTGACCCCATGGAGATAGCGAGAATTAACAAAGCAGGTATTCTATTTTTTTTTTTAAACATTTATTTATTTAGTGTGGGGGGGGCCAGCTCAGCCCACCAGGGGGCGGGGCTGGCTGGCATGTGGTGCTGGGGGATCGAACCACGGTCCCTGTGCTTTGCCAAGCTTGTTCCAAGTAGGTGCTTTAGACCACTGAGCCATCTCGCCAGCCCAAAGCAGGTATTCTAATAATAAAAGTTTCTAATAATCTGCAATAATTAAATCTCAAGCATATCACAGAATCACAATATCATTTTAATATTTTTGTTACCGTCTTAATTGTTTTCTCATAGTTAGCTATTTCCATTTATTTATTGCAGTACTGGGGACTGAACCCGGGGCTTTTGCACTGAACTACACCCCCAGCCTTTTTTTTTTTAAGACAAGGTCTCATCTCAATAAATTTCCCAGTATCTTTTTATTTATTTATTTATTTTTTTTATTTATTTTTATTATTTTTATTTTTATTTATGTGTGTGTGTGTGTGTGGCCAGCTCAGCCCACCAGGGGGCGGGCTGGCTG